ATTTTTTGCGTTTTCTCTGTGAGTCCAAAGAATGCTGGGGAAGGCACAAGCAGTCAGTTGGCAAGAATTAGAGCAGCATCCAGTGATTGTGCTGACGTCTGCAAAGGGGCCGGGCCGGAGATTAAGCCCAATAAAAACGTGTGATTTGTTGCTTTCATATTTGGAGGATGTCAGCTTCAATTTGAGCTAGCACGCTGCCTTCAGGCAGGCCGGGTGACAAATATGAAGGATGCACTGATGAACTGCTGGCAATCAAGAGTTAGTTCTTTCATCTGCTTTATTACGGCGTAAAATAACATCCACACATTGTTAAACAAAGGTTTGACATCATTTTCAGTTTAATACTACATCATATATCAGGAAGAAATGTAAGAATTTACTTGTTTTTTCCATCTTTTCTTCATTTGTTTCATCATTAATCAGTTAATCGTTCGTCTTTTGCTCAAGGCTTCTCCTTAAATGGAAAACATGTGATTCACTCAACCACTAGAATTTGATGTAATGTTGAATTCTTCAATTTCTCATTTATAAGAAGCACACGGACATTTGATGCATTGTCCATAATGCACATTCATCATACACTCATCATGTTCTGTATGTAATGGTTTAAAGACATTTGAAAGCATTTTTTGTGATACTTAACAATCTTTAAATAAAAAAATCCAATGGATTTCATCTGATTTTTATGATGAGCTACTTTGTTGGTATGGACAACAAGAAGGAGAGTTGTTAAAAGACTTTAATACATGTAGCAACAGAAACTTAAAGCAGTTTTATAAGATATCTCCTCAAGGTTTTCTCTAAATACATATTGAAATAAATTGATTCCCATCTTTGGGAGAGGAATCTCTGTGGGTGCTCTGGCTCCTCCCGCAGTCCAAAAACATGCATGTTAGGTTAATAAAAACTGTAAACTGTCCACGGGAGTGAGTGTGTGTGTGTCTGTGTGTGGTTCTTTCTGCCTATGTTTGCCCTATATTCAAAATTGTGCGACGCCTCAACAATCTTTACATTTGAAGAAGGTCGAAAAAGTAGGATGAAAGAAAATAGGTTGTTGGAAACGTTGTCTGAAAATGACGTGGCGTAAACATGGACGTTCCGTTTAAGATTCTGGAAGTTTCGGAACATCTCATATATTACGACTGAAGCACCACCCTGATTTTAATCCTTTTTTGCAAGTGCTTCATCAACCTTCAGCGTTTTTTTTTTGACAAGACAGAAGTTTCAGCATGTATGATTAATAAGATACAAATGTGCAACTGATATTTGATAAATGGCTTTGGTTTCATATTCATGATGTACAATGAATATGCAGCACCAGGGGCTTAGGCCTACTTGATTGATCAAATGTATTCCATTCATCACTTATTTTTTGCCTAATTAGCATATTTGAAGCAACACCATTAACAAGGGATGACTATGGGCTATTTGGATGATATGATGCATGTGAGAGAGCACACATACGTGCATAACTCTTTGTCTTGTGGTGTTCGGATTTTCAGGAAGGGAGAATTCATTATGAAGCAGATTTTTGCTCGATAGAAACCAGCGTTAAGATTGATTGTTTTACACAACTTTTATATTACTAATATTTGCTCCGACCGACGCAGTAGTAAATAAAATCAAGCCTTCTATATCTTTAATAGCAAAGCGGGACAATAAAATGTTCGGATACGCGAATATGTGAATGGAAAAAAGAGAGATGTAATGTTCTTTCTGGGATATTTCTCGGAGGGACGTAATAACCTAGGGACTTTGGGGAGAATAAATGGGAGAAAGGGGAGTTAGGATGTGGGTCATTATAGCTATAAGTTCTAAAGCCCTTCATTAAACACATGAGCTAGTCATTACCCCGCTGCTGTGTGATGAACATTTTAAACCCCCCCCTTCCCTTCCCTCCCCACCTCCGGTTTGCAGGCCAGATGATGCAGTGAATCCATGCTTGTCTGGCACAGGGCAAAGCAAAGTCAGACTCGGAGTAAATGCTTTTGTGTGTATTGAAGCAGGCAAACTCTTGATTCGCATTTGCCCTATTACGGCGCATCAGCATCAGCCAGATGCACGCCAGTGCGAGCACGGAGCATGCTCTTATCATTATTTGATAGTATTTTTAATGACAGATTGACAAAAGGTTCACATATGTGAGTCAGTGGTGAGGCTGTATTTCATTGCATCTTGTTCAAGTACACCAATGAGCCTAATTCATGTTTTTAACTTAGTTATTAGATGTTTTTGGAAAGAAATCTTAAACAGACTCTCGTTTAGCTCTATTCTATGCAAGACTGTAGAAAGGACATTAGTACTTATATTGAAAATAAATCGATCATATGTGTTGACTGAATGTTGTGCCATGCAGTTGCTCACCTTTTCACATCAGAATAAGATGTGAGACTCATTGCAGACTCTTTCTTTATTCAATTAAAGATTTTTTTTCAAGGGCATCCATAGTTTAGGGGTTTTATCACAGTGTAATCTGCCTTTAGCTAAGATAGAGCTGCTCAGGATCTGTTTACTTTTCCATCTAAACCGCATGTGTCTGTGACTGATAAGTATGCCGCATGGTTTTTTCATGCACATTTGTGTGTGTGTGTGCGTGTGTGTATGTGTGTGTGTGTGTGTGTAATCTGACTGCAGGTTGTAATTATCCATGACATGCTAGCAGAAACGGCACAATTAACGATGTTAATATGCAAACATCCTAAATCAATTAATGTAAAGCATCCAAAGAGTTATGGGCTTATTCAACTTCATTATATGAGGTACATAATCTGATGTATCTGTAAAAAATGTAATCAATATTTTTTGTTTGAATAACTATTCTAGTTTCTATTCTGGTTTCTATTTTGTAAACTTTGAACAAAACTGCGTTGACCCAATTGTTACACATCCACACAGCATTTTTGTATAACCCTCATTGGCTTTGACTTATTTCAGCAAATTACGGTGAGACACAACTAATTTTCCTTTGTGCATGCACTGATGAAAGCCTTTTTTTTCCTGAAATTGCCTTTACAAGGTTATGCTGATGCTTCAAAATGTAGATATGCCCTACATTTTCTCTGAATAATTATTCGAATCAATATATTGCAGTGAATATTGTTAAAACGCATCGTTTCAACAAACCGGACATGTTGGCAATTGCGATCTATCTCACGAATTTAGTAAAAAGCAGATTCCTACTTCAGGTTTTTAAGAATAAACACAAACAAGCAATGGCTCTCTCATTATTTCCCCCTGCAAATGTCTCAGCTGCAGCTTAAGAACAATGCTCGCTTCAATCTAAAATAAGTTGCTCCTCTAAAACATAATGGCCCTGCAGACAAATCAGAGACCCATCGGTGAAGAAAGGCTCTAAATAATTTATAGCTTTAATCTGCTCACCGAGGTGTGTGGTCTTTGACAGTAATTATAAATGCAGGGAGAAATTATAGCTGAATACTTTAACTGCATTAGGAGTCATCTGATGAACAACGTGATTGCCTGCTCATTTCCAACAATAGGGGGCAAGTCGGTGTCACGGCATTCAAGTCACCACAGTGCCCATGTGCTTTTTTCCCATTTACCATCAAATGTCAGTTGCCTGTTATAAAATAGAGATTTGATGAGTGGAGGTAATTGAGGACTTGATTGCTTGAAAAGAGATGAATTGCATAAAATGTTTATGAATTTAGAAGGCAATTATTTTTAATAGCTTTGAAATAATAGAGCTGGAGGAAATATGTTTAATTGTTATGATAGTAGCTTGCAGCAACAGCGTTCACAGCTAAACCAATAAAATCTGACAGAGGGATATATCTTTGAAGTGCATCTCAGAGTCATAAGGTGAAAAGAGAATGTGTTGTGCTATGCTTAAGGAGATGGTGTCCTTTGTCTCATATACTGGAGGTTACCCGTGTATATAAAACATTAACAGATATGACAGATAAGGTTAGTTCAGCAAGGCACTTGGTGTGTACTTTGTCTCATAGTTCTAAATATTCAGCTGATTTGCACTGAAAAACTGTAAAAAGCAATGTTATGTGGGAAATAGTATTTTTCTGGAAGTTTTCTTAATTGGTGTAAGCAAAAGTTTAGTAATTACCTGCTTGTCATTGGTAACTTCTTCCACAACTGTATAAGTTGCGCTTTCCTTTGCACATTTTTAAAAATAATTGTTTTAAATGTATTTTTCGATATTTAATTTCAAAATCTAAAATCAGATAGTGTGTCGTTCTTGGAAAATTCTGCAGCTGCTCCCTGTGTGATACTGTTTCTAAAGATTAGAAGGGAAAGAAACCACAAAAAATATTAGCCAGGATCAAATGTTAACTCTTTATTTGAATAAGTAAAAAAAGGTGCAGGTATCACAGGTATCATCTCCTTTGTTTTGTTATCCTTGTTGCAGTAAACTCACTTTTTTTCTCCTAAAATATATTTACATGTGTAGTTTCAATTCCAAACAGTCTAATTGTTTTTTTGAGTCATGTACAGAATCTGAGTCTAAACTTGTGATTAAACATTTATTAAAGTGCTTCTTTTTTCTTCTATCATTGCAACACAAAACATCTTTACATAGCAATACACTGTACAGGTGTGTGTGTGTGTCTTATCATGTGTCAGGCTACAGCTGCACATCTGTGCAGATGTACTGCATTACAGAGGTTGCACAAGTAGTTCAATTAGTTCATTATTTTGTCATTGAAATACAATTGAAACTTGACATATACAAATAAATAGTAATCATAGCCAGGGCTATTGCATGCAAACATTAGCATTTATGTTTCTTCAAGCAGTAAAACATTTTATTACTGGTGGTGCATTTGAGCGGGGTGCAAAAGAATCTCTTAGTGTTTCCTTACACAAATTCTAACCAGTGTGTCTTTGCTGTACTCCCATGTTTTTTAAAGTCATAATTATGCACACTACACAAGGCTAATTAGAAAATGGTTGAAATATCTGAGCCGTGTATCAAAATAAAAAAGGAGGAAAAGGAAGAAAATTGGTGATAATGATATGAAAAACTACTCCTTGTCCATTTCCACATATTGTGAATGGTTGTCGGGGGATTTGCTGTGGGTTTTACTCAAATGGAGTTTGACTGCGTGATTACTTGCAAATGTCCGACAACAAAGCTTACATTTGAACTTTGAGTCTATGTCTTCCTCTGCGACCAGAGGCTCGTTGGCTCTGACGCTGAGCGCCTTCGACAGTTCTGGCTCCTCTACCTTTGTCTGGTGCTCTACTGGCATTTTGCACATGTCTTTGATTTGAAACCCGAGATGGGATTCCAGATGGGAAATGAATGTGGCTGGTGACCTAAACTGGGATGCACAGTCATTGCAGTAGAACACTGGATGGCCCGTGTCCATGTTCTTCAGAAATTTGGTCCCTCCTGTTTTCCGTAGTTGGTATTTTACATTTGCTAACCAATGGCTTATGGTGGTCATGGACAACCCAGTGAACTTGGAGATGTGCATACGTTCCTGAGGACCGAGGTCTGAGAGCAAGTATTTTCCCTCAGAGGTCTGGAAAAGGCTGGAAGCAAACTGAGCTTGCAGGATGAGAAGGTGACGAGGATTCCAGTTTGACTGTCTACCCTTGCGCTTATGGACAGAGTAAACGTCAGCTGATACATCCTCAAAGCGCCGAACATCCGATTCCAGTTTCATGGTTGGAATTCTCGATGGTATGGAGGGTTTCGGGGTAGTGGCTTTTGGAAGAACTTTGACCATGTCGGCAATGTCGGATAGGGCATATTTTTGTGGCATTGGGGTAGACGGCTGTAGCAGCAAGGAGCTTGCCTTACTGCGTTTCGATTTCGTCAAGTCTATAGGCTGGTCGTCATTAACAAAGACAAAGGTGTTATTAGGCCTATTTCTTATAGGACTTCCAAGCATTAAAGACGGTTTCTCGCTGCTACGATTTATCTCAGCGAATATAGACTGTGAATGTGCAGATAGTTTATCTACTCTCGAGTTATTGGGCTTATTTGCCTTGCCCAGATGATTGTTCAGAACTGACTGTAGTGCACTTAGAGGGTTTATGCCAAGAATATCCGGAGTGTCACTGAGAGGCTCTGAAGTAGTGCTTCGTCCATTGCTGGCAGTGGGGCTCGGTGTCTTGCCTCTGTCAGAGAAATCTGGGCTCAACTTCTCTTTGATCGCTTCGCTCTCTTCGTTCACACAGTCTGCGTCGAGCTTTGAAGAAGAAGAGGAATCATCCTGACAATCGCTGTCATCATTCTCCACCAGATCAAACTTAATATTCTGACTTTCTTTGCAATCACTAATGCCAACCTTTTCTTTTTTGATGTCCATGTTTTGATGGTGTCCCTGGGGAGTCTCAACTCCCACGGCACCGTGATATAGCTTCCCCTTTGGGGCAATCGGCCTCAGCTTGTGGTTAAATGCCTGCTTTAGCTGAGAAGGGGGAGACGCGGAGAGAGGGGCGCTTTTGATTATGCCAGAGAGCTGGTAGGCAGCATGAATGCTTGGGTAGGCACTCCAGCTTGGTGTCCCTGTTTGAGCTTTATTGATGGCAGAGGCCACTGTGTTAGCTAAAGATTTAAGAATATCCCCTCCTCCACCTGAGTCTTGCTCAAGATCCTCTTCACGGAGATAAGGGTACTTAAAAGCCCCATTACTTGCTTTTTGATCATCGCTCTCTTGCTTGTCATCTTTAGTTTCAGTTTGTTCCATTTTGTCAGATGTACCTTCCCCCTGGCTATCGTTTTCACTGTTCCCAGAAGAGATAGTTTTTGGAGAGACCTTTTCTCCCTCGGCATCACTGGAAGGATTCTCCGCTAAGCCCTGAATCTTTTCTACAGCTAGGGGGTCAAGTGCTAACTGTTTGCCCTTTTTAGAGGCTGAGTTTGTGACTTTGATGAAGTGACCAGTAACCATCATGTGTGTAGTGAGTTGCTGAAGGGTGTCGTGGGAGCTTCCACATTCCATGCATTTGAGAATCTGAGACTTGCATGTCTCAAACTGCCAAGTGTAACTTGCTCCGTTCTGATATCCATAGCGATTGTTGTTAGTGTTTGAAAGGGTAGCTGCCCGCTGTGCCTCACTGTAGCCGGATATGCCGGTTGTGGAGTCTGGGGAACAAGGTCTTGTAGTTTCAAAGGCTCGTTTCTTTGCTGGTGGCAGTAATTTGGGTGTGATTACCGGGATTGGCTCTTTTAAAGGCACTTTTTGATAATGCTTAGTTTTAATCATATGAACACTCAGATCCTGTAGCGAGTCAAAAGAATGACCACAGAACATGCATTTTAAAACTTTCTGTGCATCCTCTTTACCTTCCATGTCTTGCAAATTTCGTTTCCTCGACTTAGAGGATGAAGCTGACGAGTTGCTCTGTTTGCTGTGGTTGTTATCTTGATAGTGTCCGGTCTTGTTCATGTGGACGGTCAGCTCCACCAGTGTGTCATAGGCAGCACTGCAATCCTTACAGCGGAAACGGCTGGCTCCTGTGAACACAGAGCCACACGGTTTGGTGGTCTGCCTGTACAGGTGGACGGAGCTAAAGAGGTTGGGTTTTGACGCAGGTTTTGGGGAGAGGGTCTGTTGCAAGGTTTTAGAGAGAGCATCCTGATGCCAGTCAAACTCGCTCTTGGTGCTTCCGTTGGTGCTGTCACAGTTGGCTTTGCTGGTGTTTTTGCCTATTTTCAAGTCCATTCCGATCCCAGTCCAATAGGAGTCTGAGAGAAAATTTGCATAGGCCGCCCTCATTTTCTCCAAGCTACTGCCCACCTCCTCTTTATGCTTTGAGGTATGACTTTCTTCATCCTTCTGGCTCTGAGGAGGCGATGAGGTTTTGAAGTCTGAGAGTCTGTCACTGTTGTCACTCAGACGCGATTCCAGCTCGGCCTCTTGATTGGAAAGGACACTAACAGGAGAGTTCTGGTTGCTGTAGGTGTTGGTGCTCTTGTTGTCCAGCTCTCGGTCCTCAGACGTCTTGGGGCTTGTCTTCTCTGAGGGTTCCTCTTCAATTAGAGTGTCATTCTCTCCATCTTCTTCAGAGATGGAATCCTGAAGAGCACCATCTTCATCAGGCACGTACTCTACAAAAAGTAGACATGGAAAAAAAATATTTAAAATACAACATAGCATAACCATTCAATGTATTCATATCTTAAATTTCAATTACAAAATCCATAGCATTTGAAGATTAAGCCATTGCATAAATGATAATTACAACTGCTTTTTATTCAGGGAGCTTGGAGGTGGACAGAATGCCTTTAGCAACACACTGCTGCTGTTGGAACAGCATCATTTGATTCACGACAGGCCATTGACTTAATGCTGTGTCCAAGGGTTTCCTGGCCTCAAGTTGAGATGTTTACAACAATCATTGGCCACTGAGTGACAAAAGGAAATTGATTCTTCTGGGGCTGGTTAAGTGTTATTGCAAATGACCTATTCCACAGTGATTATGGATGCCTCAGAACTGCAATGAAAATGGAATCCTTCTGCTGTGGATCACATTTCAGCCTCCCTGAAGCTATATTTGAGAAATGGAAGAACATAAACCCAGATTTTTTTTTATGTCTAACATCACTCTAGAAATAACATAAAGGAGCTGATTGAACAGAATGAGAAAACATAACTTAAGAAGACATTTAACAAAGATTAGAGTGTTTTAATATAGTTTAATTCAGCTTCAGGGAAATGATTCTGTTGACAGAAAAAAACTAAAAATACGTTACAAAGATGGAGTAAAAAGTTATGAGTGTCAAAATCAGACAGTTACCAAAATAAAAAAAAAAGATTACTTGCAATCTGTCACGTCAATATATTTTATCTGACAGTCTCATAAACAGCAATTACTTCTTTCATTATTCACCTGTTTGTTCTCTCAACTCATAGAGCACAAACATTATTGTTTCAATTAACTGATAATTAAACAACAGAATTTTTAATTGACATGTTTCCCATCATCCAATTAGCAGAGGCTCTGACTCAGCACAGCTTGAATTTCTCGTGGCTGCAGTGTCTCAGTCTTCAATGATACATTTTTCAAATTATTTTAAATCTAGAAAAACCACAGAATCACGTCGACAATTATTATTTGAAAGTCTTTTGAATACATCCTGCGATAGATGCATTTGGCAGAGTTGTCACATATCTGAGATACTTTCCACCTGACAGTCATGCTGCAAAATGTGCATTTTGGGAGAGACGTGCCAGATGTGCTCTCGTGTTAAATATGAATAGGACATAACAGCCCTTCCCAGGCACTTATGCATTTCGTGTGGTTAATATTTCTCTTCTGAATAGAAAGCACTCGAGGAGTGGGATGGCTTTAGTCGAGCACTCAGGCGTCCCGCACTAGCTAGCCCATAGAATGTCTTCATCGTCTGCCCTCTGAAAATAAGACTTTTTTTTTGTATCAATATTTCACAAGTGCCTCGAGAGAAGCCCCGGAGATGGACTGCTTGCTAGCTAATGGATGGAGATGAAGATGAGATTCAGACTTAAAACAAACATGGAGAATGGAGAAAAAGGAGCCGGCACACTCACACACACGCGCACACACACACACACACACACATGAACACATGCTGTGACCTTTTTCTACCACAAGAGGGAGGTTTGGACTGACCGGCCAAGATCAGTAATGGCCCCCATGCACCCTTGACGCAAAGGGAGGGAGTTGTACAGAGCACTGCAATATGTTTTATTTATAGTTTTATAAGTAGTATTCACAATGAAGAACAGCAGTTCCTCTGACAAGCTTCCATTTGATGTCCACTCGTTTCAAAGGTATTACCTCAACCAAAGAAGGAGGTTGTCCTGTTCAGATGACGTTAAATAGAAACTGATCATTAGACCTAAAGACTGTGCCCTGAATATTTTACACACCATCAAAGTCCACAGTAAACGTCACTCACTTTTGCCCGTAAGTAAAATAATTGTGCACTTTTAGGAGAAAAGCTCTGTCCTCCTAGAAGCAACGACTTGAATAAAGTGACTGTATGTTAATATTAATGCGAATGTCCTTATCATGGTATTTGAGGATGGGATTGACAAAGATTAAAAGCTGCCCTTCCTGCTGTTCTGTACCTTTCTATCAGATGCCCTAAGTAGCAGACATCCAGAGGTACCAATTAACCTTCTGGAAGAGATCACTCCAACCTACCCGCATGCCTGACTCCGCTTTTTACTGCATTTGTAACAGCGGTTTACTAGCTCTTGATGTAGCACAGTGCTGCTGCCTCTCCAAGCGATATTAGGTGTAAGACAAGACGTGATCTAAAGACACTGAAATAAATAAAATAAATAAAAAGCAACCACAAGCAATACACACAACGCTTTCCAAAGGATACAAAACAACGAAACAAGCATCCACAAACTGCAAAGCTAAAGTGAGTAGCCCAAAACGTACGTACTTTTTTGCCATATGAGGGGAACAGGAAATGGTAGTTCTGGAAATGAGGCCAAGTAAGACAACTCTTAGCCTGACCGGCCACACAAAGCAAGAACGCTGGCATGCCTTTGCCTGAGATTTAGCATGTCATAAAGTGCTGTAAAGCCTCCAATCTGTGTCAAGACAAATTTATATCTTCAGACGGAGATATGCAAAGGTCAAAAAACCTGAGGTGTCCATCATAAATCAGCTATCTGAAGTGTTTATAACCTTTATTCGTTAGAAAAAAGACTCTTGGCGTAGCAAGGCCTGTATTCCCAGCCAAAAGAACTTTCCCCCTTCATTCAGGGAAACCTGCTAACACACAGATGATATTTAGAGCTATATTCACGTTAGCACTGGCAAGCGGACTGGTGTTTACATAACATATTCACACCTCCAGTGTAAGTATTAGAATTTTCATAGATGCAACGACTCCCCCTTCCTTTGTGTGTGAGAGAGTCTATTCAAAATGTATTGTTCATTTCAAAGATGTGCATGGCAGCTGTAAAGGGGTATACTATTTCTACCATTAACATGCCAGCAGAAACTTCTGTAATGGTGAGAACATCAACATTTATCCGCTAGAAGGTCAACATTTCCTTCATTAATCTGACAAACCGCGGAGAGTTAGCGGTCCGAGCAGCTTAGCTAATGGACAGCTGCAATAGCCATCGCAGGACGTTGCGAGTATCCGAGGTAACACTATCTTCAGAGGAGATTGGGTAATTCATAGGTGCCATTGACAGGTCTGCACGTCTGTGCCACTTTCCCCCCACCGCTTTCTGGTTGTCTCAAGCTACAGTTTTTGCCGCTCGCAAATCAATATCTCTTTTTACTTCTCATTGATTGCCTAGCGGTGGGACCAACCTAAGCAGGACTGTTATGACATTTCTAGATTTCCCCCTGTCCTTGGAACAATCAATTACATGCGCATGGCAATCAAAACCTCTTTGCAAAAACGAACCTGCTCCATGACATTTTCATCTACCGGATTTATGCCATGAAAAGAAAAAAGAAAAAAGGAGAGGAAGAAAAGTAGGGGGCGAGAGCACAGATAAACAACACAGACCAGAATCTATAAACATTTTCAACGATGCTAAATTCTGTTTTTCGCATCTTAACTATACACTTAGTTAATTGTGTCTGTATATCCAGTCACAGTGCTCATCTGTTGTTATTAATAGGTTGTAAATGTCAGTCAAAAAGTACTTGGTGAGGGAAATATGATTCCTCCCAAAGTTTAGATATCTTTTTATGACTGCAAGACTGGAAACAGGATGCTTTCAAAAGTCACGCTGATGTGTTTTCTTCTGTGAGCTATCATTAGAATGAGGAACACATGCCAAAAGGTTTAATATTTGACAGTGATATCTGACTAACTCAGTGAGGAGTGCACGTCACGATCAAATAGCTACATTGTCAGACGTCCTGATGATAGCCTTGATGACACATCTGAAGTTAATTCTGAACTGAATCACATGAGAAATGGTGAAGAGTTAATTGTGGAGCCCTAAAGCGTTCTGTAAAGATCTGTAAACACCTCTCTCTTCATTGTTCCCTGTCAGGAAACAGTCTCCCCGAGCCCAAGGACACTGCGGAGTAAAGACAGAACAATCACAGTCAGGCTGCTCCCTTTGACGATATTTGTCTGGAGGTTAATTGATATCACGGAGTAGAACATTTTTTTTACTTGCTTTAAAACAAGAGTTAGTCATTAAACTGATATAACCCATTATTTTAAAAATGTGCAGACAAAACTACAGCTGAAAGTATATTATGCTGTATTCAGCTTATGAACAGAAATGTGGTGCGTCTTTCTGGTAAAAGGATAAACAAAAAAACAACTCAGGTAATGTGAAGTAGCTTTAAAAGCCACCGTGAAGCGCTGCAAAGTGGTTTTGTTGGATCTTTTGAGGATTTGAGTTCAAAACCAGGAGATGGAAACACTGTTGGTTAATTTTTGTATGCATGAAGGAGATGTTACTTAAAGCGCATTACATCCTTCACCAAACACAAGCTATTCATGCAGATAAATGCCTTACTTTCATACACCCTCAACTTCAATATTTAATGCCCTAATATAATCAAATAAAACCTTGCTGCTCAAAAAAAGAGACATGGACGACTTCAGGACAGATTGTGAACGCAGCAAATGGCACAATGTGCTCAGATGGACCTAGAGCCAGATTAATATGATAGGATCGCAAATATGACACCATATCCTGCCATCTGGCTGTTCATTTGGGCAAAAATTATCACAATAATTATGGCAATTAATCAAAAATGTTTTCACAACCAACATTCTGTTAACTAAAAACACAGGGAGCTCTGGAATACACACGGAACACAGACATTGAGCACCCTCACTGTGATTCATTACGGACCATTTTTATGTAGAAACAAAAGGTGGGATTTCTAAAATTCTGGTTTTGCATGTTGATCACGGTACTTATGATGCCACATCTGATTTCAATGTGTACCTCCAGCGGACCCTTTTTCTGTGCAATGTCATTGAGCGATGCTGCTCCTTTTGATGCCTACTAAAAACTTCTGCTCCAAGACGCATCAGTCTGCCTTCTGCCTAATTGGATGTGAGCGGTGGGAGAGCACTGCAATCTGCACTCCAGCACCTAAGTCATCACTTTAAATGTG